CAATCTTTAAATTGGATAATCTTTACATATACACACATGCCACTAGATCTGGAACTCGAGCCTCAGTTGACCACATAGGAGTCCAGCGCCTTAGCCACTATGCCACCTGCTGGCCCCTAAATTTCTATTCTTTATAAATCACCCATTCTCACTACTCAATAATGGACTGCAGCAGCATCTTAAAGCAATTTTTCTGTATGGTGGAAATGAGATCCACGTTTTTTTTTCCCCCATATGGGAAGCCAGTTATCCCAACATCATTTGTTGTAAGTAAATTTCTTTCTTTCTTTTGGTGTAGAAAATCAGAAGATTACATAGCATATCTCTATTCCTGGCACTCTCCTCTATTTCATTGATCTATGTGTTGTCCCCCTATTATGTATCACATTAGATTACGGCAGCCTTACAGTGATTATTGAAATCAGTCTAAGACCTTCAAATTTGTTCATCTTTTAAATGTTTGCCTTGACTGGGACCAGCAGTTAGCGTAATGTCTATGTCGTTGGACTCCCATGTAGTTCGAGTTCCAGACCCGGTGGCTTAAACTCACACCAGGTGCGTGTGCGTGCGTGCCCAAGATCCTGAGAGGAGAATGGAGGAGAAGGGATTGCGGCGTGGCCATCCCACCTGGGGAGAGATTTCTCGCTTTCTGTCTCACTGTCTCTCTGTTTTTCTGGTGAGCACATGCGCCCTAGAGCAAAAATCTCTCCAAAAATGGGGATGGGGGGGGGGGGGAGTTTACCTTGACTTTTCTAGAACCTTTGCATTTCTGTAAAGCTTTTAGAATGATCAACTTTTACATGAAGACTTATGGACTTCTGTTTGATTTTACAGGGTCATATTGAATTTATACATCAATTTGGGAAAAACTGACATCGAAAACATTGAGTCTTTCAACCTTTAAATTGGATATTCCTTACATTCTCTTTTAAATATTTTGTGGTTTTAGTTTCAGAGGTATATCTTCTTTTAAATTTATTAATCTCTCATACTTGGTGACTTTATGTAAATATAAAAACTTTTTTTTGAAAATATTTTATTTATTTCCAGAGAGTACACATACTCATCAAAGAGAGACAGAAACAGAGAGAAGAAGAAACAACACCTTCCAATGGGACATGGTCATACCAAAGTCTTTTCTCCTCCATTTCTCCATCCTGTCAGGATCTTGGGCATGATTGCACATGTGCCCAGCATGTTTCTCATACTAGGCTAGGATTAGAACCACAGTCAGCCATATGGGATCTGGCTCTCTGAACCACTGTGCGATGGGACCAGTCTTGGAATAATTTTAGATTACTGTATACAATACACAGAGTTTCTCAATATTCCACACCATTTTCACCTGATATTAATTTCTTACATAACCACATTATATGTATCTAAACTAAGAATTTAACATTGGCACATTACTCTTGATTAAACACCAAACTTCATGTGGACTTCACCAGTTTTACTACTAATGTTCTTTTTTCAGTTGTGGGATATAAATTCAGAATATCATACTGCTCTTAGTTATCACCAGTGGTCTCTTCTAATCTGTGACAGCTTCTTAATCTAGCCTTGTTTTTTCAGAACTTGGACAATTCTAAAGTGTACTGGCCAGGAACTTCATAGAGTTTCTTTAACTTTGGTTCATCTGATGTTTTCTCATGATGCGACTGAGGTTAGAGATTTTAAAGAAAAGTATCAAGAATTAAAGTTAATTTACCATTGCCTTATATCAGGGAATTCATGATATTCACACAATTTACTGCTGGTAATCTTGACCTTACTTATTTGGGATAGGAGATGTTTACCAAATTTTCTCATCATAAAATTTCAGTATTCCCCATTTCCACACTCTATCCTTTGAATACAAATTTTTAAATCCAATCCACATTCTATCAGTGATTTAATTAAGCTCCATCCCCAGGAAAAAAGAGTATCTACAATACTATTTGGAATTTTTTGCTAAGGAAAATTTGTCCATATCCTTTATTTATGTATTTATTTAATATGTGTATAGAACCATGTATATTTATTTCATACCTTGGATAATTATCTAATGCTGCTTATTTATTTAATTATTTACTTACATTTTGCTCTAGTCATGACTACTTTACTTCTTTATTTTCTGGCACTATAATTCATTTGCCATAGTCTTAAATCAACTATTTATCCAAAATCTCTGGTTTATTTTTCTGAAGAATCCTGTTTAGAAACAAAGGGCTAAGAAAAGGTTTTGGGTTTTTTGTTTGTTTGTTTGTTGTTTAGTTTTGTGTGTGCAGCTAGGTTGTCATTGTTTCTATATCTATTATGGTCAAAGTTGTGAAATATTTGTGTGCTTACAAGTCATGTTTTTGCAGGCAGAATAATGACCCGCCAAAGGTATCGATGCCCTGTTCCCCTGGATTTGCAAAATTATTTTAAACGGCGAAAGAGACTTTGCAGATGGAATTAAGTTATACAATTTAAGACAAGCAGGTTTTTTTCTGTATTACTCAGTTGGGCTCAACTTAATCAAATGTATCTTTGGCAGCCAGAACATTTTATCTGACTGAAATTGAAGACAGAGGGACTAGCAGGTGGTGTGGTTATTAAAGGTGCTGGATTCCCACATGGCTGACCGTGATTCGAGTCCTAGACCTGGCGGCTTGAAGATGATACCAGGCACATGTGCGTGCGTCATGCCCAAGATCCCGGGAGGACAGTGGAGGGGAAGGGATTCTGGTGTGGCTGTCCTCCCTAGGGGGCTGATTTCTCATTTCCTCTCTGGCTCCCTCTGTCTCTCTCCAGCTAGCACACATGCCCTATGGCACAAACAAACAAACAAACAAAGAAGTCAGATGAAGCAGAAGTGAAAGAGAGATTCCAAGTATTAGAAGGATATAAAAGTAGGACCTTCCCTATAGCCTAGTGATTAAGAAAACTGGATCCCACCTGGCTAAGCATGGTTTGAATCTTAGCTCCGTGGCTTGAAAAGCACACTGGGCACGTGTGTATGCTTGCCCAAAATCTCAGCAGGAGGGAAATGAAAAAGAGATTGTGGCATGACCATGCTCCATTGCAGGGGGTAGGGGGGTGCTTTATATGTCTCTCTTTCTCTGTTTCTGTCTTTCCTGGGAAGCACACAGACCCTGTGGCAATTAAATTAAAAGGAGTCAAAGCACCATTGTTGACCCTGAGACATAGGTACCCATATGCAGGGAACTGAGAGGCTCCTGAGGGGTCCAGGACTAACAGCAAAGAAGCAAATACCTTAGTCCTGTAACTGAGGAATCTGCTAAAAGCCTAAGTGAGCTTAAAATAAAACTTTCTAGATCTTCATAAAAACCCAATGACCAGCACCATAAGTTCAACCTTATAAAATCCAGAGTAGAGAAATCAGGTAGCGAATTCACCTGCAGTGAGATTTATTATATATATTAATATAGTTAGGCTTATTTGTCAGAGTCTGCATTTCTTTCTGAGCTAGCCCAGCATCCTGGTTCACTTTTTTATTTTCATTTATTAAATTTCATTCCATTGCATGGATACGTCACAGTTTGTCCATTTACCAGGTGATGAACATCTAATTTTTGGTTAGTAAAGATAAAGCTGCTATAAAAATTGATACGAAATTTTGAGAATATATGGATTTTTGTTGTACTTGGATAAATACCTAGGAGCAAGACTGATGACTTGCAATGTAAGTCTGTTTACATTTATAGGAAACTCAAGTTCTTTCCCAAAGTGGCTGTAACATATTTTATTCCCAGCAGCAATAAATGAGAATGTCAGTTACTATGCATTTTTGGCAGCATTTGTTATTGTCATTTTTTTTTTCATTTTAGCTATTATAGTAAGAGTATAGTTATATCATTACAGTAAATGCCTAGGAGATGAATTGCTGGTCATATGGTAAGTTCATGTTTAACATTTTGAGAAAGTCCCAAACTGTTTACGAAAGTGGCTACACCATCTTACATTCCTACCAGCAATATATTTAGAATTCCGATTTGCCCACATGCTTCTCATCACGTTTTTTGTTTATCTTTTTTTATTATAGACATTCTAGTGAGTGATGCCTCAAATCCCTGTCAAAGCCTTTGTAGTACATATTCAGTTCATCTAATTTATTTAAAAAGTAAATGAAGCTATTGCAAAGCTAGTTTTCATTGCTAAACATTAACCACATTTACTTGTTTTCGACAGAATCTCTCTTTCTCATTATCAGTTCTTATAAACAGCTTTATTCTCATGAAAACCATACTTCTTTTCAGCTCAGTTTCTAAATTATAGAGGTAGTATAGCAAAAAGAGAAGGGAGGCAGGGTAAGGAGCCTCATCATAACTTTGTAGACTGAAAGGAAATGCCATTATCACTTTCAGTGATTTTTCTTATACTCTCTTTTTTCTAATCTTACGGGATTCTCTTGCAGAAGCCAACAAACAGGTCTTTCATGGTAATCTGAGAATGGAAAAAGCAAGATAATTAAAACATGACATCAATCCTACCCCACCTGAAAATATGTTTCAAGTCAAAAGCAAAGAGCAAAGTATGTTCTTAAGTATTAATGAAGACTAGGAAAAATAGAGCCATGATATGCTTCCTTGGGGAGAAAAAAAAAATTCATACGCTCGTTTTGTCCAATTTTCTCTTTCTTTATTGACACTGTAGAGGGTTTTGCACAACAGTATAAATGAGATTTGACATGTGAAGAGTAGGTGGTTTCTGAGCGATTTTGTTTGTTTCACTTTTCAAGCATTAGAACAATTGTCAAAAGGGATTATGGGGCGGGGGAGAACAAACAAGAGGCTCAAACTTCAAAACTATTATTTCTGGGCTTTCTGGCCTTCCCAACTTTTACCCCAAGCCAGGAACCGCTAATCCACTGCTTGCGCTTTCTGCCCAGTTTGAATCCTCATCTCGCTACCGACTCCAAATTCAGATTGACAGGGCCATTGACCAATCACAGAGCTGGATTTCCTTACCACTTGCGCAATGGCAGCTTTCCTGGCGATAGCGCGCTAAAGGGAGGGGCGGGGCAAAGGGAAGAACGTTAGAAATCAGCACCAAACGTGCCTCCCAGAAGCGGTGAAGTGGTTCTTCAACATCAGGAACCAGGTGTCAACCTACGTCTTTAAGTTGTCAAGATGTCTCTTTCTAAGAAATTGACTTTGGACAAGCTGGATGTTAAAGGGAAACGAGTCATCATGAGAGTAGATTTTAACGTTCCCATGAAGAAGAACCAGATTACAAACAACCAGAGAATCAAGGCTGCCATCCCAAGCATCAAGTACTGCCTAGATAACGAAGCCAAATCGGTAGTTCTTATGAGTCACCTAGGCCGCCCGGATGGTGTTCCCATGCCTGACAAATATTCCTTAGAACCTGTTGCTGCTGAGCTCAAGTCCTTGCTGGGGCGGGATGTTTTGTTCTTGAAGGATTGTGTAGGCTCAGAAGTAGAGAAGGCCTGTGCCAACCCAGCTACTGGCTCAGTCATCCTGCTGGAGAACTTGCGCTTTCATGTGGAGGAAGAAGGGAAGGGCCAGGATCCTTCCGGAAAGAAACTTAAAGCAGAGCCAGATAAAATAGTAGCCTTCCGAGCATCACTCTCCAAGCTAGGAGATGTATATGTCAATGATGCCTTTGGTACTGCACACCGAGCTCACAGTTCCATGGTGGGAGTAAATCTGCCCCAGAAAGCATCAGGATTCCTGATGAAAAAGGAGCTGGATTACTTTGCCAGAGCCTTGGAAAACCCTGAGAGACCTTTTCTGGCTATACTTGGTGGGGCCAAAGTGGCAGACAAGATACAACTCATCAAAAATATGCTGGACAAGGTCAATGAGATGATTATCGGCGGTGGAATGGCTTACACATTCCTTAAGGTACTGAACAACATGGAAATCGGTGCTTCCCTTTTTGATGAAGAGGGAGCCAAGATTGTCAATGATATCATGGCCAAAGCAAATAAGAATGGTGTAAAGATTACCTTCCCTGTTGACTTTGTCACTGCTGACAAGTTTGATGAGAATGCTAAAGTTGGACAAGCTACTGTAGCATCTGGTGTACCTCCTGGCTGGATGGCTTTGGACTGTGGTCCTGAGACCAACAAGAAGTTTGCTCAAGTTGTGGCCCAAGCAAAGCTAATTGTTTGGAATGGAAGCTTTTAGAATGATCAACTTTTACATGAAGACTTATGGACTTCTGTTTGATTTTACAGGGTCATATTGAATTTATACATCAATTTGGGAAAAACTGACATCGAAAACATTGAGTCTTTCAACCTTTAAATTGAATATTCCTTACATTCTCTTTTAAATATTTTGTGGTTTTAGTTTCAGAGGTATATCTTCTTTTAAATTTATTAATCTCTCATACTTGGTGACTTTATGTAAATATAAAAACTTTTTTTTGAAAATATTTTATTTATTTCCAGAGAGTACACATACTCATCAAAGAGAGACAGAAACAGAGAGAAGAAGAAACAACACCTTCCAATGGGACATGGTCATACCAAAGTCTTTTCTCCTCCATTTCTCCATCCTGTCAGGATCTTGGGCATGATTGCACATGTGCCCAGCATGTTTCTCATACTAGGCTAGGATTAGAACCACAGTCAGCCATATGGGATCTGGCTCTCTGAACCACTGTGCGATGGGACCAGTCTTGGAATAATTTTAGATTACTGTATACAATACACAGAGTTTCTCAATATTCCACACCATTTTCACCTGATATTAATTTCTTACATAACCACATTATATGTATCTAAACTAAGAATTTAACATTGGCACATTACTCTTGATTAAACACCAAACTTCATGTGGACTTCACCAGTTTTACTACTAATGTTCTTTTTTCAGTTGTGGGATATAAATTCAGAATATCATACTGCTCTTAGTTATCACCAGTGGTCTCTTCTAATCTGTGACAGCTTCTTAATCTAGCCTTGTTTTTTCAGAACTTGGACAATTCTAAAGCGTACTGGCCAGGAACTTCATAGAGTTTCTTTAACTTTGGTTCATCTGATGTTTTCTCATGATGCGACTGAGGTTAGAGATTTTAAAGAAAAGTATCAAGAATTAAAGTTAATTTACCATTGCCTTATATCAGGGAATTCATGATATTCACACAATTTACTGCTGGTAATCTTGACCTTACTTATTTGGGATAGGAGATGTTTACCAAATTTTCTCATCATAAAATTTCAGTATTCCCCATTTCCACACTCTATCCTTTGAATACAAATTTTTAAATCCAATCCACATTCTATCAGTGATTTAATTAAGCTCCATCCCCAGGAAAAAAGAGTATCTACAATACTATTTGGAATTTTTTGCTAAGGAAAATTTGTCCATATCCTTTATTTATGTATTTATTTAATATGTGTATAGAACCATGTATATTTATTTCATACCTTGGATAATTATCTAATGCTGCTTATTTATTTAATTATTTACTTACATTTTGCTCTAGTCATGACTACTTTACTTCTTTATTTTCTGGCACTATAATTCATTTGCCATAGTCTTAAATCAACTATTTATCCAAAATCTCTGGTTTATTTTTCTGAAGAATCCTGTTTAGAAACAAAGGGCTAAGAAAAGGTTTTGGGTTTTTTGTTTGTTTGTTTGTTGTTTAGTTTTGTGTGTGCAGCTAGGTTGTCATTGTTTCTATATCTATTATGGTCAAAGTTGTGAAATATTTGTGTGCTTACAAGTCATGTTTTTGCAGGCAGAATAATGACCCGCCAAAGGTATCGATGCCCTGTTCCCCTGGATTTGCAAAATTATTTTAAACTGGCGAAAGAGACTTTGCAGATGGAATTAAGTTATACAATTTAAGACAAGCAGGTTTTTTTCTGTATTACTCAGTTGGGCTCAACTTAATCAAATGTATCTTTGGCAGCCAGAACATTTTATCTGACTGAAATTGAAGACAGAGGGACTAGCAGGTGGTGTGGTTATTAAAGGTGCTGGATTCCCACATGGCTGACCGTGATTCGAGTCCTAGACCTGGCGGCTTGAAGATGATACCAGGCACATGTGCGTGCGTCATGCCCAAGATCCCGGGAGGACAGTGGAGGGGAAGGGATTCTGGTGTGGCTGTCCTCCCTAGGGGGCTGATTTCTCATTTCCTCTCTGGCTCCCTCTGTCTCTCTCCAGCTAGCACACATGCCCTATGGCACAAACAAACAAACAAACAAAGAAGTCAGATGAAGCAGAAGTGAAAGAGAGATTCCAAGTATTAGAAGGATATAAAAGTAGGACCTTCCCTATAGCCTAGTGATTAAGAAAACTGGATCCCACCTGGCTAAGCATGGTTTGAATCTTAGCTCCGTGGCTTGAAAAGCACACTGGGCACGTGTGTATGCTTGCCCAAAATCTCAGCAGGAGGGAAATGAAAAAGAGATTGTGGCATGACCATGCTCCATTGCAGGGGGTAGGGGGGTGCTTTATATGTCTCTCTTTCTCTGTTTCTGTCTTTCCTGGGAAGCACACAGGCCCTGTGGCAATTAAATTAAAAGGAGTCAAAGCACCATTGTTGACCCTGAGACATAGGTACCCATATGCAGGGAACTGAGAGGCTCCTGAGGGGTCCAGGACTAACAGCAAAGAAGCAAATACCTTAGTCCTGTAACTGAGGAATCTGCTAAAAGCCTAAGTGAGCTTAAAATAAAACTTTCTAGATCTTCATAAAAACCCAATGACCAGCACCATAAGTTCAACCTTATAAAATCCAGAGTAGAGAAATCAGGTAGCGAATTCACCTGCAGTGAGATTTATTATATATATTAATATAGTTAGGCTTATTTGTCAGAGTCTGCATTTCTTTCTGAGCTAGCCCAGCATCCTGGTTCACTTTTTTATTTTCATTTATTAAATTTCATTCCATTGCATGGATACGTCACAGTTTGTCCATTTACCAGGTGATGAACATCTAATTTTTGGTTAGTAAAGATAAAGCTGCTATAAAAATTGATACGAAATTTTGAGAATATATGGATTTTTGTTGTACTTGGATAAATACCTAGGAGCAAGACTGATGACTTGCAATGTAAGTCTGTTTACATTTATAGGAAACTCAAGTTCTTTCCCAAAGTGGCTGTAACATATTTTATTCCCAGCAGCAATAAATGAGAATGTCAGTTACTATGCATTTTTGGCAGCATTTGTTATTGTCATTTTTTTTTTCATTTTAGCTATTATAGTAAGAGTATAGTTATATCATTACAGTAAATGCCTAGGAGATGAATTGCTGGTCATATGGTAAGTTCATGTTTAACATTTTGAGAAAGTCCCAAACTGTTTACGAAAGTGGCTACACCATCTTACATTCCTACCAGCAATATATTTAGAATTCCGATTTGCCCACATGCTTCTCATCACGTTTTTTGTTTATCTTTTTTTATTATAGACATTCTAGTGAGTGATGCCTCAAATCCCTGTCAAAGCCTTTGTAGTACATATTCAGTTCATCTAATTTATTTAAAAAGTAAATGAAGCTATTGCAAAGCTAGTTTTCATTGCTAAACATTAACCACATTTACTTGTTTTCGACAGAATCTCTCTTTCTCATTATTGCTAAACATTAACCACATTTACTTGTTTTCTACGGAAACTCTCTTTCTCATTTTCAGTTCTTATAAACAGCTTTATTCTCATGAAAACCATACTTCTTTTCAGCTCAGTTTCTAAATTATAGAGGTAGTATAGCAAAAAGAGAAGGGAGGCAGGGTAAGGAGCCTCATCATAACTTTGTAGACTGAAAGGAAATGCCATTATCACTTTCAGTGATTTTTCTTATACTCTCTTTTTTCTAATCTTACGGGATTCTCTTGCAGAAGCCAACAAACAGGTCTTTCATGGTAATCTGAGAATGGAAAAAGCAAGATAATTAAAACATGACATCAATCCTACCCCACCTGAAAATATGTTTCAAGTCAAAAGCAAAGAGCAAAGTATGTTCTTAAGTATTAATGAAGACTAGGAAAAATAGAGCCATGATATGCTTCCTTGGGGAGAAAAAAAAAATTCATACGCTCGTTTTGTCCAATTTTCTCTTTCTTTATTGACACTGTAGAGGGTTTTGCACAACAGTATAAATGAGATTTGACATGTGAAGAGTAGGTGGTTTCTGAGCGATTTTGTTTGTTTCACTTTTCAAGCATTAGAACAATTGTCAAAAGGGATTATGGGGCGGGGGAGAACAAACAAGAGGCTCAAACTTCAAAACTATTATTTCTGGGCTTTCTGGCCTTCCCAACTTTTACCCCAAGCCAGGAACCGCTAATCCACTGCTTGCGCTTTCTGCCCAGTTTGAATCCTCATCTCGCTACCGACTCCAAATTCAGATTGACAGGGCCATTGACCAATCACAGAGCTGGATTTCCTTACCACTTGCGCAATGGCAGCTTTCCTGGCGATAGCGCGCTAAAGGGAGGGGCGGGGCAAAGGGAAGAACGTTAGAAATCAGCACCAAACGTGCCTCCCAGAAGCGGTGAAGTGGTTCTTCAACATCAGGAACCAGGTGTCAACCTACGTCTTTAAGTTGTCAAGATGTCTCTTTCTAAGAAATTGACTTTGGACAAGCTGGATGTTAAAGGGAAACGAGTCATCATGAGAGTAGATTTTAACGTTCCCATGAAGAAGAACCAGATTACAAACAACCAGAGAATCAAGGCTGCCATCCCAAGCATCAAGTACTGCCTAGATAACGAAGCCAAATCGGTAGTTCTTATGAGTCACCTAGGCCGCCCGGATGGTGTTCCCATGCCTGACAAATATTCCTTAGAACCTGTTGCTGCTGAGCTCAAGTCCTTGCTGGGGCGGGATGTTTTGTTCTTGAAGGATTGTGTAGGCTCAGAAGTAGAGAAGGCCTGTGCCAACCCAGCTACTGGCTCAGTCATCCTGCTGGAGAACTTGCGCTTTCATGTGGAGGAAGAAGGGAAGGGCCAGGATCCTTCCGGAAAGAAACTTAAAGCAGAGCCAGATAAAATAGTAGCCTTCCGAGCATCACTCTCCAAGCTAGGAGATGTATATGTCAATGATGCCTTTGGTACTGCACACCGAGCTCACAGTTCCATGGTGGGAGTAAATCTGCCCCAGAAAGCATCAGGATTCCTGATGAAAAAGGAGCTGGATTACTTTGCCAGAGCCTTGGAAAACCCTGAGAGACCTTTTCTGGCTATACTTGGTGGGGCCAAAGTGGCAGACAAGATACAACTCATCAAAAATATGCTGGACAAGGTCAATGAGATGATTATCGGCGGTGGAATGGCTTACACATTCCTTAAGGTACTGAACAACATGGAAATCGGTGCTTCCCTTTTTGATGAAGAGGGAGCCAAGATTGTCAATGATATCATGGCCAAAGCAAATAAGAATGGTGTAAAGATTACCTTCCCTGTTGACTTTGTCACTGCTGACAAGTTTGATGAGAATGCTAAAGTTGGACAAGCTACTGTAGCATCTGGTGTACCTCCTGGCTGGATGGCTTTGGACTGTGGTCCTGAGACCAACAAGAAGTTTGCTCAAGTTGTGGCCCAAGCAAAGCTAATTGTTTGGAATGGACCTGTAGGGGTATTTGAATGGGAAGCCTTTGCTAAGGGAACCAAAGCTCTCATGGATGAAGTTGTGAAAGCCACTTCCAGAGGCTGCATCACCATTATAGGTGGTGGAGACACTGCTACTTGCTGTGCCAAATGGAACACTGAAGATAAAGTCAGCCATGTGAGTACTGGAGGTGGTGCCAGTCTAGAGCTTCTGGAAGGCAAAATCCTTCCTGGAGTGGATGCCCTCAGCAACTTATAGCTGAAAAAGTACTCTGTCCTTCTGCTTCCTGCCCACAGCCTTTAAGTCAGCTTAGTGCATTTACATCTGGACTTATGTTAAAACCTAACCTTTTATCAAAATCTAGTTATGACTATGTGGCAAGTCATCAGGAACTCAACTCAACATCAGCAAAGGAATTAACCTCATTTTAGTACTATCACACATTTGCCTATTCTCTTCAACATCTCATTTGAACTTCACCATTGTGCTTCACAGGGAGGTTTTATTATTAAGTTACCTATTAAAGAAAGTAAGTCAAATAAGCTGTATGTCTCTCTTTTAGTCCAGCTTTATTATTGTTTTGCTACTTAAAACATAGGAAAACACAAAGTTCAAGTTGTTGGGGAAGGGTGAGGTAGAAGTTTTAAATAAAGTACCCAAATAAATTATTTTTGTAAAAATAAATTTTACAGAAGTTTTTATAAAATAATTGCATATAAGAACTTATGGGAGGGATGCAGCAGGTGATGTGGTGGCTAAAGCACTGGACTCCCTTATGGCTGACCACAGTTCAAGTCAGGACTCGGTAGCTTGAAAATCATCCTGGGCACATGTGCATGCCCCAAATCCCCCCAAAATAAAGGACTATAGAGTGGCCATCCTCCTGGGGAATGAATTCTCAATTTCCTGCTTTCAGCCTCTTTCCAGGGAAAACATGCACTATATGGCAATAATAATAATAATAATAATTTACTGTATCATTAAATCCTTATTAAGGGACCAGGGGATGGCATAAAGGTTAAGGCATGGGAATCCCACATGACAGACTATGGTTTGAGTCCCAGACCTAAGGGCTCTCTCTCTCTCTCTCTCTCTCTCTCTCTCTCTCTCTTTCTCAATCTCTCTTTGGTGAGTGTGTGGTCTATGGCAAATTTTAGAAATAATAATATTGATAAATAAAATTAAAGAAATACTTCTTAAAAATCAAAAACCCTATTAGGAGGAACTTTCTTCCTAAATATGAAAAAAGAGAAATAGAAGGTACTTATTAAACCCAGCAAGTTAAAAAAAAAAAAGGAAAAAAAAAATAAGGAAGAAATTGTGTTTGTATGTATATGGTAGCGTGAGACTACACACATATGTCTCTTAGGGAGCTACAAATTAAACTCAGATTATATAAAGAAATAGTGTTTTATTTTTAAAGTAGGTATTATTTAATAAGTAGATAATATATTTATAAATACTAAAACTGTTTTTGAGACAAATAAAATATACATATGTAAAAAGCTTAGTAATAAGAAAGAAACTTAAAAACCATATATTGCAAAATAGAATAATAAAATAATAAGTGTAGAAGAAACAAACAAACAAAAAAAAACTTATTTGAGAATATTTTGCCTAGTCCTGTAGACAAGAGCTGGTATAAGACAATGTTGTCAACAAATTAAAAGTAAAAATACAAAGTAATTTTCCCCAGTGGTAATATCCTATGTTTCATAATCCCAGGTCAATTTCATGTATTCAATTTCATGAGTAATTGATCTTCAGATGTGTTTTTAAATACACTTGAGACATCAACATATTTTTAAGGAGAATATTAATGATGCCAAAGTTATCCCAGAGAAGATGTAGGGGTTAAGATACAGGCTTAAAAACAAAGTTAAAAAAAAAAAATGAGAACCCAAATTTCCATAGTTGAAATAAGATTAAAGCATATTGCTCTCTTGCATAAAAATTCAGGGTGAATAGGTGGCTTCTTCCCTAGCAACTCATCTAGGGAATCGGACCAGTTAAATAAATCTTCCTCAGTTAAGTGGGTTTAGTCTGTGTCTGAGGGGTCTGAGTTTTTGTTATTTGATTGCTAGCCTGAGGGAGAAGTCAGTAAAAGGCAATCGGTTTTCTTTGAAATACTCATCCCAAAAAAGTTCAGAAATAGTTTCTCACTTATTCTATTGGCTGTTAGTCATGTGACTAATGCCTATTATGAAAGGAAGTCTTGAGGATATATTTTTCTCTAGTCTGGATACCTTATACCAAGTTAAAGGCCTATAAATTCTATTACTAAAGAAGGTAGGATTAGAGAAAAACCAAGGGAAAATTAATGACCTCTGATGTACTGTGACTCCAACCACACAAATATCCATGTACAATTATCCATGTACCCTTCCTGAATAGAGGAGATATCCCTTCTTCAAGAGGCAGAATCGAATGCCTTGTCCAGTTACTGTATCCCACTCAAAACTGAGTATCTTTGTTGATGTGTAATACTCCCATGTGATTCAGTGGAGAGTCCAAAAGTCTGGCAAACTAAAACGCAAACTTATTTTTCACTAACTTTGCACTCCCTCCCCTCAAAATACGCCCAGTATACAAGAGCAGAAAATAAATATGATGACTACAATAAAAATATTCTTCTAAAATAAAGGCCATTGGTTCATTACAATGTAAAATAAATCATGCTACATCAGAATTTCAAGTACTCCTCGACTTGATAGTAGAAGAATTTCCCCAGTTAGATTGGATCTGTTTTCTGAGATGAACTTTTTTTTTGTATTCATTATCCCATTCTGGGGCCTTGTTTAACCAACTGGAAAATTTTCATTGTTTCATGGCACCTTCTGAAGTAAATGTTGGAGAGTTGGGCCTCTGTACCAATTTCCTAGTGTCTTATTTGCTAGTGTGGTTTTAAGAAATGGAAGATGTGTGATCAGCAGAGGCGGCATGGTGGTTAAGGTGCTGGACTCCTACATGGCCAACAATGGTTTGAGTACTGGACCTGGCTTTCTCACTTTCTCTCTTTTTCTCTTTCTCTTTTTCTGTCTCAGTCTCCTTCTCTGGTCAAATAAAAACAATAATAATGGTAGTAATATTAATAATGATGATGATAATATTTCTTTTTAAAAAGAGATTTTTTTATAGGGCATGTGTGCTCATTGGAGACAGACATAAAGTGAGAAATCACCCCTTCCCCTCTAGAGGAGATGGCCATGCCATAATCTCTTCTCCTCCATTCTCCTCTTGGGATTTTGGGCATGCACACACACGTGTATGGCGTGAGTTTTAAGCTACTGTGGCCAGTACTTGAACTACGTGATAGTCCAGCAACATAACCATATGCCATCTACTAGTCCCAATAAATAATTTTTTTTTTTTTATATATATATATATATAACACAAAATTGATATACATTTATACATTTGCACAAGCCAAGGGTGCCACTTTGCAATGCTCAAGTTATATGGAAAGCCCCAGAGTTCAGGTCCTACGTTGGCTTGAATGTACCAGGCATACTCACAATCCTGGCTGGCTGGAAGGTAGGGGAGAGGGAAGAGGAGATCATGGCATGGAAAACCCTATTGGGGATACCATGTGGGATTCAGCTTTAACCACACTCCTTGACTGGCCCAGAAATTATTTAACATTTTCTTATCTCAGTTATAGCACCTGAAAAATTTGCATTCCATTTTGACCTGAAATACAATACACTGAATTAATTCTTTCCTGCAAAATGTAAATTAATACCTTCATATAAATTCAAAGTTCTTCTTTATTTATTTATTTATTTTAAAAAATAATTATTTGTTCAATTTTATTATTATTATGGGTAAATTTGGTATAGAGCACACATGCTCATCTACAAGAGAGAGAGAAAAAAAAAAAACAAAGTAAGCTGCCAGGTCCAGGTCTTGAACTATGGTTGGTCATGTGGGAGTCCAGTGCCCAAATCATCACACTACCTGCTGGCCCCCAAAGTTCTCAGTTATTAAGTTAATGGTACTTAAAAAAAAATAAAATTGCTACAGGAGCTGTGCACTCAGTAAGAGAGAGAGAGACACAGAGAGAAAAACCCCAGAATATGGATAACCACTCTACAATCCTTTTTCCTCCGTTTCTCCTTTTGGGATTTTGGGGCTGCATGCACATGCACCCAACTTGTCTTTGAAGCTTCCAGGTCCATGTCTGGAAGCAAATAGCTGCCATGTGGAATTCAACTGCCTTAATCACCGTACTAGTGGCTGACTGATGATGGTAATTTTTAGATATGATACATTTAATATTTCTTGAAACTTTCTTCCAGACCTGCTGGTCATATAACAGTGCTGCTGCAAATTCATTGCCTTGCTATCATCCATAACTGAGTTATTCTGCTCCACTCCTCCTTTTGCTGACTCTTTGTTCCTTTGCCCTACTTCTGAGGGTCTTTGTGACACTACACAGCTGATGGGTTCATCATGACATCCTCTTCCATATCTGCATTACCTCCTTAAATGACTTGCAGATTTTATTTCCATCTATAACCTTTTGCCTCATACAGATGTCCCATTACAATGATACATGAAGACTTTTTTAAAAATTTTTTATACATTCAATCACATTATTTAGCTTACAAAGTGAACATTTCAATATGTGAACATTTCTACCCAGTCCAGTTGATCAAAATATTTTCAACAGATAACACCACACCTCCTTATCCCGTCAATGCTCTGCCTCTGTATCCCTCCTCCAAATGTCCTTCCCCAGGCCCCACACACACCACATCTGGCATTCACACCCATCTCTTGTGTTTGTACAACCTTTAGTCAATCAGTTTCAGTCATAGAGTGCAGACACTTGGTATATATTAAGTGGGGACATAAAATGTCTCTCCTTCATAGCCTGGCTTGCTTCACTCAGCAGTAAATCTTCCATATTCTTCCACTTTCTGTCAAAAGCCATTGTTTTGTTGGTTTTTATGGCTGAATAGTATTCCATAGAGAATATGTACCACAGTTTTTCAATCCATTCATCCATACAGGGGCATTTGGGTTGGTTCCATGCCTTAGCAATTGTGAATAGTGCTGCAATAAACATAGATGTGCAAGCACTTTTCCAATGAAGAATTCTTCTGTCATTTGGGTAGATACCAAGGAATGGGATTGCTGGATCATATGGTAGTTCTATTTGTAGATTTTTGAGGAATCTCCAAATTGTTCTCCACAGTGGCTGGACCAATTTACATTCCCACCAGCAGTGTAAAAGAGTTCCCCTTTCACCACACCCATGCCAACACTTATCATTTTTGTTTTTTTAATCTTAGACATTCTGACTGGGGTTAGATGATATCTCATTGTTGTTTTGATCTGCATTTCCCTTAC